CTCAAGGCATGCTCCACCGCGTGCGGTCGAAGGTGTACGCCGACTTCGTGCCGGAATTCGATGCGACATCGGTGGCCAAGATCAAGGCGGCCGGTGGCATCATCCTGGGCAAGGCGGTCACCACCGAGTTCGCCTCCTCCGACCCTTCGCCGACGCGCAACCCATGGAACCTGGAGCACACTCCCGGCGGCTCCAGCAGTGGGTCGTCTGCGGCGGTGGGCGGCGCGGATGGTTCCGGCTGCGCTGGCTCACAGACCGGCGGGTCCACCTGCCGACCGGCGGCCTACAACGGCATCGTCGGCGTGAAGGCCACCTACGGGCGCATCTCACGGTACGGGTGGGCCCCGCTAAGCTGGTCTCTGGACCACGTGGGCATCCTGACTCGAACGGTGGCCGATGGCGCGTTGATGCTGACCGTGCTGAGCGGCGCGGATGACCATGATCCCGGCAGCCTGCGCGAACCGGTGCCCGACTTCAGCGCGCAGATGGCCGAGCATGACCGGCCCCCGCGCATCGGGCTGGTGCGGCAGTACTACCAGGACTATGCCACGCCGGAGATGTGGGCGCACACGGAGGCCGTGGCCAATCTACTGGCGGAGGCTGGGGCTGAAGTCGAGGAAATACCGTTGCCGGACAGCTTCGCCGTGGTGCACAGCTTCCAGCGCATCGTGTCGAACGTAGAGTGCGCGGGGGTCCACCAGTCAATCACAGCGTTCGCGCCGCCGACTACGGCCCGCGCATCCGCGCCGGCATGGAGATGGGCATGATCATACCGACGTCGGCGTACCTGAAGGCCCAGCGGCTGCGGCGGCAATTCCGCGCCGACTTCAGCGAGATGGCCGCCAAGGTCGATGTCGTCATGACGCCGGCGATGCCGGCGCCGGCTCCGCGTGATCTGAACACCACCGGTGATGCGGCGTTCCAGGTGCCGTGGACGGCCGCCGGGTTGCCCACGGTGGTGGTCTCGACGGGCCTGAGCGAGCTGGGCATGCCCATGGCGGTGCAGTTCGGCGGGCCGTGGGCCCAGGAGGGCCGGGTCCTGGGCGCGGCGCAGTGGTGCGAGCGGATCGCTGGACTGAACCAGGCGCCGCCCAATTATTGAAGCATTTCGTCAATTGGCAGGACACGTGAGTACACCGATATTCAGAATCGGACGAAATCGGATACTCCGAGTTTGCCGGTGTCCCGACTCCACGGCTAAATCAACTTGACGTTTCGCCGACCACCACTTTGACGATGAACTACTTGGTAACGTACCGTCCCCTCGTACGTAATGGTCGGGGCAAAGTTGCGATCGCGCGATATGGTCTTGCTCCCTACGTGGACGATTCGTGCCGACGGGAGCCAGACTTTGAAGCGGTGTTTCCATCGATTACCGGCATATGTCGGGGCGCCAAATTCGCCCCCCGCCTGTCGGTTTCGGATACTGTGGTGTACCTGACCGTCAAGGGCAAGTACCCTGACTATCGTGTTGGTCATTGGCGTCTGACGGCGGTCCTGCAGGTGGTGAACAGGTTCGAGTCCCACGGGGATGCGGCTGCTTGGTATAGAGAGCGGGGGTTGGAGGTGCCCCGCAACTGCATGGTGCCGGGAAATCCACCCCTTCCGATGGATCAAACCGCGAACCCCCACAATTACTCCAATGTCAGGATTTGGGACGCGGTGTACCGGAGGCGGGTCAGCAAACACAGCGTATTCCTCGCGTGTGAATCTCTGTTCCGGGAGTTGCATGACCCACCGGTAGTAACCAGCGAGATGCTGATGGAGTGGTTCGGCCGCATCCCGGGCACCCAGACCCCGCCACTCATTAGCGATCAGCAATACCGGTGCTTGGCCGCGCTAGCGGGAATCGAGTAGTACTTGCCATCCGACCCTGTTGGTCCGGGTGGCAGTAGTGTCGTGGCTGACTGGCTTCGCTGGATGAGCGACAAACTCTGCGGCCTGCGGTTCCGATGCTCTTGGCCCGGTCGGCGGTGACGGGTCGTCAATCGACGGAAGCCAGCAGTTTCCAGTCCACTAAACTGGACGAAATCAACACCCTTCACATCGTGGTTCCGGCTGGCACTGTAAAGCGAAGCGCAACTGGAATCGCAGGCAGAAGCTTGGATAGTTGGCCTCCTGTGGAGGTGTGGACCACTTCTCGATTGGGGTACGAAAACGCCTTGCATCGGCGACGCAGACCCCATAGAATGCGCGCCGGTCACGATGTACTTCGGGGAGACTGTCTGGTCAATGGCATTCCGCTTCATTCATTCTGCCGACTGGCAGATCGGCAAAGTTTTCCGCTTCGTTGATGGGGTGGAGATGGGTGGCCTCCAGTTGGCGCGACTGGAGGCGATCACGTGCATCGGCAAACTGGCCGACGAGCACGACGTGAGCCATGTATTGGTTGCGGGCGACGTTTACGACCACGCCGCTCCCTCTCCCCACACCCGCAACCAGGTCGTCGAGCGAATGCGTGCTTACAGCTCGGTGCAGTGGCATCTTTTGCCGGGAAACCATGATCCGTACCAACCCAACGGACTTTGGGACCAGATCAGAAAGCGTGATCTGCCTGACAACATCCACCTGCATACCGAATCTGCCGCCAGCGTCATCGAGCAAGATACCGCCGTCCTGCTTCCGGGTCCACTCCAACATCGTCGCACCCTCAATGATCCGACCGCCTGGATGGACGATCAGGTCAGCGACGCCCACTTGATCCGCATCGGCCTGGCTCATGGCGCCGTCCATGGCTTCGATACGGATGAGGAACAGCGAGCCAACCGCATCGACCCCGCGCGACCGCAATCCGCTCGACTCGACTACTTGGCGCTGGGCGACTGGCACGGAGAGCTTCGGGTAAACGAGCGTTGCTGGTACAGCGGCACGCCAGAGACGGACTCGTTTCAGACGCGTGGCAGGGGCACTGCCCTGCTGGTAGAAATCGACGGTCCGAATGAGTTGCCGCAGGTCACTCCGCTCTCGACAGGTCAGTACCACTGGGTGTCGCTCGATGAGCGCGTGGAGAGACCGGAAGACGTGGGTCTGCTCGAACACAAACTGCGGAACCTGAACGGCGACCTCAACCACACACTGGTCGATCTGAAACTCTCGGGAGCCCTCTCACTGGCTGACTTGCAGCGCTTCGAGGAACGGATCGTCGAGGGAGCGGCCGCAGCGCTCTTTCATCTTCGGATTGACCGCGGGCAGCTGTTTCCGGAACCCACCGACGACGACCTTGACAGCATTGATCCAGGCGGAATTGTGCGCGCCGCTGCTGACAGGCTTCGCGGGATGGTCGAGGCAGGGGGGAGTAACGCCGGACTCGCTCGCGCCGCTCTTCACCGACTCTACATCGAACACAAGAAGCTCGAATCGGGGCTACGATGAAGCTGCGCAAGCTCTCAGTCAACCAGCTCAAGCGCTTTACCGTGCCGACGCAGTTGGGCCAACTCGGTGACGGTCTCAATCTGGTCGTTGGGCCGAACGAGCTCGGCAAATCGACCCTGTTGGATGCGCTTCGAGCAGTGCTGTTCGAGCGCCACGGCTCCAGGGCGCAGCCCATCGTGGCACTGCAAAATGATCGCAGCGGTGCGGCGCCGGTCGTCGAACTGGTCTTTGAAGTAGGCGGCGCTGAGTACACGCTGACCAAGCGCTTCGTCAGGAGCCCCTTTGCGCGACTGCAGTGTCCTGATGGAACACTTCTCGAAGCGGACGCTGCTGAAAACGAATTGCGCAACCTTCTGGGTTTCGCCGAGGCAGGCAATCGAGGCGCAACTTCGGAAACGCTTGGCATGTGGGGCGTCCTGTGGGTTCTCCAGGGACAGTCATTCGGCAGACCGGACCTGCCCGCTTCAGCGCTGGCAAGTCTCAGCGCGGGGCTGGAGTCCGAGGTAGGGACCGTCCTCGGAGGCCGCCGTGGCAGAGAGTTGCCGCAGGTCATACAACAGCAGCAGGGAGACTTGGTGACTCCGGCCCGGCGTCAGCCGCGCGGCGCATACAAGGACGCGCTTGATAACGTCAGCGAGCTCGAACAGCGTCTCAGCGCGCAACAGCAGCAGAAGTCGGAGATGTCGGAAACGCTCGAGCAGCTGGCCGCGACGACAACACGGCTTGCGCGGCTGGAGGAAGGCAGTCAGGATCGCATCGATCAGAAAGAACTTACGGGGGCTCAGGAGCAGCTCGGCGAGGTGATGCGCCACGACCTGCAACTCGAAGCCGCTCACAGCGAACTCCAGAACCGGCAGAGGCAGTTGGAGCAAGCCGAACGCGCCCAAACCGAGCGCACATCCCGGCGCGCGGAGCTCAAGGCGGATCAGGAAAAGCTGAAGCAGGACACCGAGAGGTTGAAGGAACTCCAAAAGCATCAGCAAGAATCGTCGGCTACACTTGACGAATTCCGGCAGGCTGCGACGGACGCAGAATCAGCCGTTGAAGCAGCGACACAGTCAGAGGCAAGATGGCGCCGTATCCTGGATCGAATCACTCGCTCCGCAGAGTTGAACGACCTGCTCCGCCAACAGAGCGCTGTCGAAGCTGCGCAGGAACGACTCACTGACGCCCAGCGGCAGGCCGAGCAGATCAAGGTCACGGACGAATCGCTACAGCGGATCCGCCAATCCACGGACGCAGCCGAACAGGCAAATGCACGGCTCAGCGTGGCGGCAACCCGTGTCACCTTTGACATCCCGAGCGACCGTCTTACCGGCATTGAGGCCGACGGCGTTCCGTTGACGGACCCGCCCAAGACGGTCGAGGCAGTGGAGCCGGTCAGCATCACCATCCCAGAGCGGGGAAGGATTCTCATCGAGCCGGCCGTCGCCGACCGTGACCAGCTCTTGCGCGCGGAAAGGAAAGCCAAAGCAGAGCTGGACGCAGCACTCGGCGAAGTCGAGGCGCAGACACTCGCCGAAGCACAGGTCCTGCGCGACCAACGGCGTGATCTCGAAGTCATCGCCGACGCGGCCCAACAGGAACTGGAACGAATCGCGCCGGACGACGGCGCAGCGACACTTCAACCACGAATCGACGAGTTGCGCCGAACACTGGAGGGCCTGCCGTCGGACGAGGATACGCCGGAAAAGGAGCAAGCCGAAGCCGCCCTGGAATCCGCTCAGGCAGAACATCAAAAGGCAAGGGGCGAGGAACGGGTCGCTCGCGAGGCTGTGGATGAGAGGGCACAAGCCGTTTCAGACCTCATGGTGGAAGTGCGCACACTGCAAAACACTGTGGATAGCCACACCGAGGTGGTTGGAAGGCGGGATGAACAGCTCCGGAGCGACGCCGAAGGCGTACCCGATCAGCAACTCGCAGAGGCGCACGAAACAGCAGCGCAGGTCGTGACGGAACAGAAACAAACCGTCTCCTCGCTGGAGGCAGAACGACCGGCCAGCGCCAGGACGCAGCTGGAAGCCCGCATCACACGACTAAAGGCGGCGATTGAAAAACGCGAAAGCGACCGCGTCAATCTACGAATCGAGAGCGTCCGCTTGAGTGAGCGGATCGAAGTTCACGATAGTGCCGGCATCGACGAAGCCATCGAACACACTCAGCATGAACTTGAACAGGCGACACTGCGACGCGACCGTTTTGAACGCGAAGTCGAGGTCCTTGACCTCCTGGCCGATACGCTTCGCACAGCCGAGAGCGATGCCAAAGAACGCTACGTCGCCCCAGTCGTCAATCGCATCCATCCGTACCTCCAAATGCTCTTCCCTGACGCTGAAATCAGCATAGGCGAGGACATGTACATCACAGGGATGTCCCGCCACGCGGGATACGAGGAAAGCTTCGATCATCTGAGCATGGGTACTCAGGAGCAGATCGCCGTCCTCGTTCGCCTGGCCTTCGCCGAAATGCTGATTGACCAAGGCGCGCCCGCCGCCGTGGTCCTGGACGATGCGCTCGTGTTTTCTGACGACCAGCGGATGCGGCTGATGTTCGACATCCTCTCGCACGCCGCGGAGCGCGTGCAGATCCTGGTTTTCACCTGTCGCGAGCAACTCTTCGAGGGTCTCGGCGCACACCAATTGCAGCTCGCCGAGGTCGATCCCGAATCTCTCCGCTCAGCCTAATCCTGTTCAAGTTGGCGGGCTTTCGAAGAGGGTGGTTGCGGTTTCGGTGCCCCTCACGTGCTGGATGGTGGCTCAAGCCTGACGGCCGGTGCTGCAGCTGGCCGTGGTCATCTACCCAGGAGAGCCTGCCTGGGTGGCCTTTGGGGCCGTTGATGACGAGGTTCTGTGGGTTGGGTCCACTGGCGTCGTCCAGGGCAATCTGCAGCATCTCGATGTCCACGTTCCCCCGGTCTGCTCGTTGCTCGATGGTTTTGATCTCGAGGCCGGCGTCGAACATGGAGAGGAGCCAGGGGGTGAAGAGTCGCTCCTGGTGTTTGTGGGTCATCGACAGGCCGTGGCTTCGGCTGGTCGGCCTACCGGTGAAGCGTCCTGGTCAAGGACCCCTGCCCGCGGTGCGGCGGTCCTGGTGAAGACGCCGGCGGCGCCGGTGGCAGACTTTGCGCCCAACTCTGCCATTTACGGCCTTTCAGCCCTTGCCGTCGTTCGGGGCAATTGATGACGGCGCGCTTCTTTCTGGCAGAGTTCTTCAGTGCGTACTCTGCCACCATGGAAGTTCCCCACTATTGGACGGCCGACCGGTTCAGCGTCTCCTGGACGCGCCGTCAACCCACAATCAGCGCCAGGCCCGCACCGGTGAACGCCGTGGCCTACGTCCGCTACACCACCGATAAGCGCCATGCGCACCCGCAATGAGATCGAGGAGACCATCAATCCGTCTCCCGTTCCGGCGCCGTCATCACGCCGGGAGCGGCTTTGATACGGGCCCGTCGCTGAACCCCAGCGCACGGCGCACCGTCTCGCTGGCGCGCACCAGCCGTATGGCCGACGTGGGCCAATC